CGTCATCATCTGGTCCAACAACCATTAGGCGTGAACCAGCGATTGCCTTTTCAAGATCTTGCGCCGAAATCTTAACACCAAGAGCAGCTTTCACAGTTTTATTATGAACATAAGCGGATTTGATTCGAAGTTCCCTCAATGGCTGTGGTGTTAATAAAGCACGGATTGTTGTAACTATTGGTCCATTAAGACCACATAAAACAATCTTATCTCCTTCATTTAAAACACCATTAGATAAAATTACATCAATAGTTGTGCCAAGACCTTCAATAACTTTGACTTCCAATACAGTACACTCCAATTCTGACAAGTACATTAGCTCATTGCTCATCCTTGATTGCGTTAAATTAATAAGTAACATGAGCATATCAGGAATACCTTCTCCAGTGATTGCTGAAGTAGGAACAAGAGAAACGTTTTTGGCATAATTCTTGTTTTCATAGTACAAAACAGAATTGAGTCCCTGATATAACATAAAGAAAATTTTCTAAGAAACCGTTGCAACAAAAAATTGGTTATGCTTAGATATAGAGTTTCTACCTGTTCAGCAAAAGCCAAGATAGTTTTCTCAACACGATCTTTGAATTCACGTTGAACAGCTGCCGATTGTTTAGAAAAAGAATCAAGGAAAGAATTATCTCGTGTAGGCTTCCAATCATACATACGATCAATCTGATTTAAAGAAAATTATTTTTATTTTTGAGCATGTAATTTAGAGAATATACAAGTCCTAACCTTATTTAATGCTACTATGAAAGGAGCTTTACGATCCCGTAGTAATTTTAACGATTCCAAAGTTTGTGGCTCTAAACCATGCTGATGATCAAAAATATTCGATGAGTATATATTAAATAATCCTATATAAAATATAAATACATTTTTTTACCATAATATCAACCACAAGAATAGCTATATTACATAACGAGGAACCTCTAGAACGCAAATTTGTGAATGATTCATGACCGGGTGTGTCAATAATTAACAAACCCGGAAGTTTATATTCTTGTTTGCCATCCTGAAAAAGTGGTAAAAAAAATTTGATCAGTTAAAATTATTTTTTCTTTTCCAAAATTTTAACGGACACTAAACTTATTCAATTAAAGTCATTATATAATTAACCTTGTTTAAAGGAGCTGTTTTAATTTTGATAGTTTCCATAGGAAAGTAAGTCGCACCAATTTGTTGTGTGATACCACCGGCTTCACCCTCTTGAACGTTCGTTTGTCGGATTTTATCCAACAATTTTGTCTATATAAATTTTAAGGATAAGAAAGTAATGTGTTAAAAAAAAATATATCTTAAAAAATTTTCTTAGATACCTACATTATGCGTTACCGTAAAGTCACTTAGCAAGAAGCGATGATTTCCATCAACTACGAAACCAAAATATTCACCAATGCCAAGTTCTTCAACTTTAAATTCCCAAAGCTGATCGTGTCCATAATCTTTAGAGTCTATTATACAATTAGATCGAGGAAAAACTGAAGGAATTATATAAGCGTTATTTATAACGCAAGCATTCTGAGACTTAACAATGTTGACTCGTAATCCACAAGAGCGGGCGAGCTTAGCAAAGTTTTTGGTATTGTAATCATTAATGAATGTCAATTCAATAACATCCTGAGAATGACATGATCCTTTACTATCAATAATTCCGGCTATCAATTGAAGACGAACTGAATCAACGTCTTCATACATCAAAACCTCTGGAATATCTTTCCTTCGTAAGATACCAAGTTCGCCAAACAAAGAAGCCAAAGTTTCTTGATTAATAATCTTATTCTTAATATACAATAAAATTTCTTGATAAAACATCGAAATATCATCATAACTATTACTACGTTTACATTTAGCTTGTTTTGTACCTATCCAATAACCAATTAACCAAGCACAGGATCTAACAAAGTCATCGGTTATAGATGACCCAATAACTCGTTCAATTATCTTTGCAAATGCTCCTTCCCGAGTTGAAAAACGAACACTATTTGGTATGAACATTTTGGCAGCAGCTCGAATTTCTGGAGAACAATTTAAGAATTGCGTAACAGAAGGTTGCCAGATGAAATCTACAAGAACAATTTCCAAGTCTGCATTACTAATAATTGAATTTTTATTGAAGTTTAACAACTCTAAATCCTTATAGACAGTTCTTTCTGCATGATATTTGGTCGGAAATAGAATTGTCGGATATCTGTAAAACTTATCAGTTTTTTTAACCAAATTTGTGCTCTTATCATAAGTTAAATAATTAAGACAAAATTGATTTTGATCATCTCTTTCTACATGTTGTATCCGTGGCAATGACGTAATTTTAAGAACAAGAATATGTGCATCGTTACACACAAATGGTTGAGCGAAAGAAATGTTTGTTGGGATAATCTTGTAAAGAAGTCCTTTCCCATTTGTAACTCCGCTAACATTTCGAGGTGTACTATCGTCACCCATTACTTGTTCCCCTGATCGAATTGTTTCAACAGCACGAACACTACCATCATACATCAAAATAGGAGTGCCTTTTCCTAAACATTTGCCAGTGTCAACGTGCCCCAAGATACAACAAATTGGAGAACGAAGATTATCTTTGCTTCGGGCGGCAAGAGCCTCTTCGTGACGTTGTTTACGACGTTCAGCAGCCTCTTGTTTACGTTTCATCAATTGCTTTTTATGTTCAGTTAATTCTTCATCACTTTCTGTTGCATCTTCGCTGCCTTCCATTTCAGTGTCTTCAGATTCTTCTGTTTCCGCATCGGATTGCTCTTTTACAGATTTCTTAACAGGAGATTTAACCTTAATTGCTGTTTCCTCAACTTTATTAACCGGAGTCGGTGGAGGTGTATTGGGTTTTGGAATTGGAGTTGGAGATTCATCTTCAGTACTTTGATCCCATTGTTCTTTGACATTTTCTTCGACTTTATTATTAATTTCCTCATCTTCACTCTCTTCCCAACTTTCTTTAACTTCTACATGAGATGCCTTTGTGGCAATTTCTACCTTTTCTTCTTCCGGTTCTTGTTGTTCCCGGCTTTCCTTTTCTATTTCTGCAAAATGAAATAATTTAGCATAATGAATATAATGTCTCAAATATCATGTGATAGTTAACTCAAACAAACCTCCTTTAGTTTCTACTTTCTCATTCAACACAAGCTCAATAGAATCTCCCACGTTGCTAGATGGTTCAGCTTCAATTTGTGGTTCTCGTTGTTTATTTGGCTGTTTCCTTTTATTAGTATATACAACCTTCCTTGGTTTCGGTTCACCTTCTTGACTAAGGCCTTCGATCTTGAGACCAGCTTCCATCATTTGTTGTAATCGTAACTGATCTTGCTGTTTCTTCTTTATCTGAGCTTTGCTCAACAGTTTCCCCTCTTTTTTTAACTGTTCTTTTTTTGCCTATTTGAAAGATATTAAGATGACAAAATAAATTAAGATATTATGCATAATCGTTATAATTGTTGTGGTAAAAGAGGATGTGCTTTGAATACTTGCCTTTTCTTTTTCTTTTTTTCTTTTCTTGGCTTCTTCTTTTAGACGCTCTTCTTCCTCTATACGTTTACGCTCCTCTATAGTAATCATGATCATAAAACTGCGTTAGTACTACTACGGTCTATATCTCAACAAGATTAAAATCATTTTAATACCTTCAAGTTTCCTTTGCTGTTCTTCTTCCTCTTTCTTTCTCGCTTCTTCTTCAGCGCTAAAACAAAAATTGAATCATGTTAACGAATTAGTTAGTGATCAGGTAATCAAAATGCCTGATTTAATACTAACCGTTGGGCTTCCAAAGCTTTCCTAATTGCGGCCAACTGAGCGTTCTTTTTACCGGCAGGTTTCTTTTCTTCTTCCGGTTTCTTCTTCTTTTTCTTCTTTTTACTCTTTGATTTTGTATCATCATCTTCTTCTTCCTCTTCAGGTGGTAATTCAGGCGGTGATGCTGATTTAGTTTCAGTTTGCACTTCTTTAATGTCTTCTTTATTCTCTATCTCAACAATTTTTTGAGTTGCAGCCTGAGCTTTTTTCTTATCTGCTTCAGCCTTCCTCTTTTCTTTTTCTTTCTGCTTTTTTAACTTTTCCTTTTCTTTTTTACTTAATATTCTTACTACTCCATCATCATCATTTTGTTTTTCCTTCTCAATAGATGTTTCTTTTGCATCCTTTTCAACTTCATTGTTCTTTCCATCCTTTTTTTTTTTACCTTTATTAGTCGACGCGCCAAATTCTTCATCGACCCAATCATCAGGTTGGACCGCTTGAACTTCAGTCAAAACGACAGGGATTCTATCTGAAGGAGATTCTTCTTCCGTTATTTGCGAATCAGCATAATCATCATCCATTACAACATTTTTTCTTTTTTTTTTCTTGTCTTTTTTCGACACTTTAGATATCTGCGCCATTAATCCTCCAAATTCATCGTCTTCAACTACAGGTGTTTGTTCTTGTTCAATTATATTAACTTTGACGTCTTCATTAGCAGGCTCCCGTAAAAGCTTTGGCTTGGCTTGCTCTTCCCTGAAGAATGTAAATATATTATTAAATCAACGGTGCAACTTCGATATAAATTTGTAATAAAAAATTTAGATCGCGTTATCTCATACAAACCAATCTTCTTCAACTTTCTTTTTCCCCTTCTTGTCCTTTTTACCCATTTTTAATTTTTAAAAAGGTTTTGAGCCGTAAGTAAATTTTGGCAAATCAAGACTGGAAGAACAAAAGACCGTAAGTTCAAATTCTTGTTTGTTTGATCCAAAAAAAAAAAAATTTAGATGTAACTGCGGAATATTATTTATTATGTATTTGTATTTGAAATAACTCAGGGCAGATCGTCACTTGTTATTGGGTACAAATAACCAAATCAACAGCTGTTACTTTTCGAATTTATACTAAAACAAGCAATAAAGAGGCTCCAACGTTTAATTTTTATTGTAAACTAGATCAAGCATTTAACCACTTTATAATTTGTATTGTCCTTTTTCCCAAGACGTTTTTTTTTTTTTTTCCCACCGATGTCGAACATGGCTAACCTAAATCCCCCGGCGTACGGGGGAGGTATCACTGGTTTGGTTGGTATGCCAAATAACTCTAGAGTTTTAGCCCCGATGCACCACTTGGCAATGGGACAGACACCACCACCTTCACTTAACCCTGCTATGACAACTTTTGGTCTTGGGTTTCCGACTATGGTCGCTGCAAACCATATGAATAACCAAAGACAAATGCAAATGTCAATGAGTCAAACTCCCTCACCTCCGATCCCGTAAGTATATATTATTTTGCAAAAATTAAAATCAGCTTTTTTTTGTGTGTAACTTACGTTTCCATTTTTTTTCCTTTTGTGTGTTAGTCGGAACTCTGTCTACCTTCAGAGGTGAGTTCTTAAATTTTATATTATTTAATAATTTAGCTCATAACATATTATGGATTTGAATCATTGTATAGGACTTCGGAAATTAATGAGACTCTACATTTTTCTTTATCCATAACCTAACTAAAAAAACTACAACAATAATAGGCCAAATGGAATCAATGGAAGAGGCATTCTAAGAGTGCTTTTGTTTAGTGAATATTTAAA